GGGGTGCGGGTGGCGGGTTTCTGATGCGTGCGCCAGCCCGAGTAAAACTCCCCGGGAGTCCCCGGGATCCGCCTCTGCCCGCACCCCAGCCCAAGACGGGGATGGCAAGTTTCTCGAGATGTGCGAGGGCTGCACCCACAGCCCAAAACCAGGAAGGGATGGGACCAAGATGTCAAACCTAGGCGGTCTGTATTTGGCCGGTAGGAGGCTTCCCCGCAGACAGCGTTTGGGCTTAAGGTTGATAAACGGGCTGGGTGCCTCTACTGCGGACATTATCATTCAAACCTCACAACAGCCTGTGGAAGGTAAACGCGTTAAATCTTCTCTACAGAGGAGGAAACTGAGGCTCAGAGAACCCAGGAGCCTGGGCATGTTCTCACAACAAGCAACGAATGGGGCTTCCAGCCCAGGGTGAAAGTCCCGGCCCCTAACTTCTCCGTGGCAAATTTCCTCCGAGGAAATTGAGGGTAGAAGGGCGTGCGGTGCTGCAGAAGGGGTTAGCAGGTGGCCTTGTGTCCCGCCTGTCCCTCTGACAAAATGCCCACGGCAGGCAGGATGGTGCAGCAGCTACTGGGGAAGATTCACTGAATTTGTGCAAAGTCATAGATGAGAACAGGACACTTGAAGGCATCCAGCCCCTGCTGCCTGTGTTTCTCTCCGTGTCTACCTCACAACCTCACCACTTCCCCAGTCTGGCCCTCGGCTTCCTCATGGGTAAAAACCATGAACGTTGCATGCCATAATCTACCTGGGCACCTTCCAATATCTATAAATAAACAAATGGCTCCCTGCAGTCACCGCCCCACCCTGCTGCCCATTAGCAGGCATAAGACTGAGTGGGATTAAGCAACAGGAGCCCACTCAGGACAATGCCTCCCACAACAGCTCATGCTTTCAAACCCTTCAAGGCCCCTCCCTGCCCCTTACCACTAACTCCAGGACATAGGATACCCTGCCCATGCCCTCTACAGAGCCTAACAGATTCGAATGCCACAGACTACACAGGCAGATAAAGACTCGGTGACACTCTGAGCCAGTGTGGTGGTGTGTCCCTGTAATCCCAGCACTTAGGAGGCTGAGGCAGGAAGATAGTTGCAAACTAGAGGCCAGCCTGAGCTACATAGTTCAAGCCAGCCTACATTACTTAGTGACACCCCCCACAAAAAATAACCCATAAAGGGACACTCTTTTTTTTTTGAGACAGGGTCTCACTATGTAGTTGAGACTGACCTGGAACTCACTGTGTAGCCCAGGCTGGTCTCGAACTCACAGTGATCCTCCTGCCTCAGCCTCCCGAGTGCTGGGATTACAGGCGTGTGCTACCACACCTGGCGCAAAGTGACACTCTTGACATTCAGGTTCAGCCACTTGCAAGTGTCGCTACATCAGGAGGCCGGAAAATGGTCACGGCTTGTGGCCAAATTACTGCAGGCAGCAATCATAGTTTTGGAGCAGGAAGCAGCCACAAAAATCATCTTGTCCCCTTCACATGCTATTTTAAGCCATCCCACCCTATACACACATTCTCATGGCCACAGCTTTAGCTGATTATTAGCCCCAAATGCAAATGCATTGCAAGACTAGCACTCTCTTCTCTTAAATCAACAACTCAAATATTCAGAAGATGTAAATGCAAATCACCCAGTTTAAGTTTCAAAAGTCCTCCCTTTCTTTGTGCATATTTATACGTATATAACAAAAGTACCTATCAACAGAAATAGAAGATTTCACAGAAATATAATTCAATAGCAGTGTCACTAATAACTAACATTTATTGAATGTCTATGATGTGTTAGGCTCTGTCACATTGCCTTATTTAATTTAAACTTCCCAACAGCTTATGAGAAGGTGCTACTATTCCTATTTCACAGATGTGGAAACTGAGGCTCAGGCCATATGAATCACTAGTAGGGAGCAATGGAGCTAGGTGGGATTTGAACCCCGCTCTGTTATATGAGCATAGTTTATCATAAAGAATGTATATTGCACCAGGTGTGGTGGCACACACCTATAACCCCAGCTCTAGGAGGCTGAGGCAGAAGGATAGCTTAGGCCAGCCTAAGCTACATATTAAATTCAAGGCCAGCTTGGACTGCATAGCAAGACCCTGTCTCAAAAAAAAAAAAAAACCAAAATGTATATTGTTTATATTATTTTCTTGAATTCAAACCCTAACATACTAATACATTCATGCATTCAACAGACATTTACTAAATACCTACTTTGTTCCAGGCTGTGTGCTAAGGACACAACAGTAAACATAAAGACAGATGGAGCCTGGTGAGGCCAGGGGGTCAGCAGGACTCTGTAGGCCACGGTGACAAGTGTGGATTTGATCCTAGGCGTAAAAGGGTGGCGAGGGTGGGGAGAGCAGTGACATGATATAAATCTGTATTCTTGGGGATCACTGCAGCTGTGAAGGCATAATGAACTGGAGATGGTAAAACTGGGAGAGAGAACAATTCCAAGGCAACTATTTGGCAATGGCAGAAGAGATGGACAAAAGTACACAGACTGAATCTTCTCCAACTAATATACTTGGGGTCATAAATATCTGTATGACTATAAAACTTTAAAACCACAGGAGTTGCCTGCTATCTGAAGTTTGTTAGCAGGACCCAGAGGGACTCTCAAAGTGAATTGCTTGATATACTGTAAAGTGGTATTTATAATTTTAAATATCCAATGTCATTGTTTGCAAGAACAGTGGATTGCCAAGTGTGGTGGTGCTTGACTGTAATCCAGCATTCCAGAGGCTGAGGCAGGAGGATGGCCTCAAATTCAAGGCCAGCCTAAACTGGACAGCAAGTCTGTCTCTCTCTCGTTTCTCTCTCTCTCTCTCTCTCTCTCTCTCTCTCTCTCTCTCTCTCTCTCTCACACACACACACAAACAGCCTAAGAAACAGGTAACTATGAATCTGGGGGTCAAGTGACAGTGAGAATCACTAACCAGTAATTACAGGGATGATTTGTAAGCCTACCATGACAGAAGCTAGAAAACATTCACTTTCACCTTGGCTAAGCAAGGGAGGTAGGGCCAAACAAGCCAAGGCATGGCGTGGCTACTCTGGACAGTGACTTTAGACTTCAGCTTCCACCTCTGAAAAATGGTGTCTCTGAATTCTTTTTTTTTTTTTTTTTTTTTTTTTTTTTTTTTTTGTGTGTGTGTGTGTGTGTTGGGGATCGAACTCGGGTCTTTGTGCTTGAGAGGCAGGCCACCAAACCGCTGAGCTAAATCCCCGGCTCCACCTCTGAAAAATGGGAATAACAATTTGTAAAAATTAACTGAGACAATAAATTGCCTGGCCCTCAAAGGCAATTATTAATCACCCATGTTTTAAGTATTTCGAGGATAGATGGTTAATTTTTTCCCCTATAAATAAAGCAAGTTTTCATTTTTTTAAAAATGTACTACTTTTTTTGTACCCAGGATTGAACTCAGGACCTTGAGCTTGTCAGGCAGGCACATCTCTGGCCCTTAGATGTACTACTTTTGAAACAGGTAGTTTAAATGGTTTTGTAATGATGGTAAAAATGAACCAGGGAATCACAGTTTTATTACGATTTGTCAGGTGGTAAGTTAAATATACTTCTGGAAGCTTAACACTTTCCTATGGAAAAATATTAGTCTTAATTTTCTCCCTGAATTGAATTATGAAATGTTTTTAACCTGAATTCACTGTGCCTTGTTTCCTCACCAGAGCCTGGGGAAGTCTTGTCCCCAAAGGCCATGATGGGCTGCTGGGAGAAGAAATGATGCAACTGGGTGGAGGGCCTGCGGGCAGAGGCCCCATAAATAGTTGCTGAATGCAATATGATTTTATTCATTAGAATTGCTATAGAGAGCTTACTGCATTAAGGCAAATTCCTACTAGCATGTGGTGCCTTGGCATTTCAAGCAAAACGTAATGCTCCAACTTATTTTTTAAAAATAGTAATGCTACTCAGCAGTCACGCTTAAGTTTCTGGCCCTTTAGCGAAAAGGAGACACAGCGGCTGGAAGTGACCCGGGCGGCTGGAGATCCCTGCCGCATAACGTGGGCTTCGCTGTCCTAACTGCGAACTATGCGAAGACGGACTTCAGGCGGGGACACGGCCTCCCGTGCCCTACACCACCCACCCACGCCATCGCCCGTGGGTAGGAGTCCTGACCCGATCGGGCGAAGGAGTTCCCGGGAGGTGCCAGGGAACCCGTGTCACCCAAATTGGGCCAGTGGGTCCTGGCCTCTCCCCGCGGCGCAGAGGTGACTCAAGCCGTGGGGGAAGGAAGGTGGTACGGCGGCGCTCACCCCGACGCGCTCCCCGAGATGTAGGTTACCGATCTCCTCCCTGGCCTCGCGGTCACCTCCTGTCCCCACAGGAGAGAGCGCTAGGGTGGGCGAAGCCCCGCTCCCCCTCCTCTTGTCAATAACAACCTTTCTTTTGATCCCCGAGACAAAACAAAACAACAACAAAAAACCAACCCTTCCCTGGAGGGGCCCTGAGCTTTAGTTTGCAGTGAGCTTTGACATATGGATCCGCTACCACTGGGAGAGGCAGCGCCAGCGGGCGCCCACACTTCAAAGGGAGGAAACCGAGGCACAGCAGCGAGAAGGGATTCTGGGGGCTTCAGAAGCGGGAGTTGGGGGACAAGGAAAGAACCGAGGGAGCCTCCTCCCCCGCCCCGGGGTCCCCGAG